TCCACGTTTTTATTTTATTTTTGTCAATTTGTATTTTTTGAACATTTATTTTTTTACGGAGATGACTAATTTTGGGCCAAAGCAAGTAAAAATAACGGCCATTTGTAATTGGCAAAAACGAAGATGACCAATTTTTTCATGCAAGTTTTCAATTACAGAACTCGGGTTTTTTTATTTGAAGAAAAATCGACGCCTGGAGGGTATTTAGTCTATTAATTTTCTTAGGTATTCCTCATGGACATACCGGCCACGTGCGTTTCCTCACATGCGTGGAAACGACGACGCCGTCGAAGCCGGACCCACGGCCAAAGGTGAACAGATACTCTCTGAAATCCAGCAAAACCCAGCAGAACAATATCAGCCGGGGAAAACTGCTGGTGATATCAGGCGGAGATGGTTACGAGCATTTCAGAGGACCGCAGGCATCCGCCGAGCTGCAGGCTGGTCGTGAGGACTCGACCAATCATCTGCTGCTTTGGAAAGTGTGATCTGATCTAGCACGGCCCTCGGTGAGCGGTTTTTACAAAATAATTTTTTACTCCAGAGAAAAAATCGACATTATCAATCTTTTGTTTCATAATGAAATATTTCAGGGTGAGTTTCTATCTTCGTTACAGAGTTCTGTCGAACCTTCGAAAATTCTCTCGTGTTAAGTTATCTTCTGCAATTCCTATTAACTAAAATTTGATCACCTAGTTGCACAAAAGTATCCTGTAACATTATTTCTATATTTTGATTTCCTACTGGTCGTTAAATTGATATGTAATCACGTTGATTCTTTCTACGTAACAATGGAAGTTTTCTCCATCATTAATTGTAAATCAAATCAAATACATATATACACTGCCGGCCAAAAGTTTGGAATCGCCTCCCACTTTTCATCAATATTAAATCTGCTGCTAATTTTTTATAGATTTGAAGTTTATCTCAGTTCTACATTTATCAATTTATCTCACATCAATTGATTCGAACTGTTACACCCTCAAATATTTTCCTTCTTGGTCCTTAGTTTTATCTGTGTTTACAACTATGGTTACCCACTTTCACCATTACTCACACTGGACTCTTCACCTTCCAACTCTCCTCTCAACTCTTCTGCACAGTCACAACCCAAAGTCCATCTTCCCAGAACCCTTAATATATTTTCTCCATTTCCGCGTTCATTCTCTGTTTTACCATGCGCAAATAAACGCATAAGACGATCCTTAAGTGTTTTGATTCAGTGATACCCCAATATCTGCTCCTAGTTTCGAGGAATTGGAGCAAACCGGGCATCACAGAACGATAAAAAATTCTCAAAGTCACTGACTTTTTTCTCGAAATTTTTATGTAAATTGCAATGCTCAGTGATTCGAGACTTTTGGCCGGTAGTGTACAATTCTTAAAAATGAAATTCTCAATTTCAAACTTCTCAACCTCAAAATTCTCAATATCGATTTTTCCAAAATTCTACGAACTCGTCAACACTCAGCACGAAACGATCGACGTCAAACTGTTGAGATTTACACGCGTGTGACCCTAGAAAATTTGCCATTTAACAGGTAAGGGCCGCAGTTCACGCACGTCGGCATGACACGCCGTGGGAATCGTCATTGCGTGTGCAATACACACGCGGTCGGGTCCGTCATCGTCCGATCGTGGCTGTTCAGGACGTATTCGCCCGACGATTTTTCAAGGAACGTGGGAAGGTTCTCTGGCTCGTATTGGCCGAGTGGATCAAGAGCAGGATAAAGGAGGCCCGTTATTTTCAGGGTGCTAAGAGGCACACGTTCCATACTGTTATGAAACCGAAGAATTAGATAGCTTTCTCTGATAAATAGTCCTTCGATGCTGATCGAGGTCAGACATTTACAGTGATTCGTTTGACCCTTCGTTGGGGATCATTTTAAAAGATGGAACTGTGAAACGATTCACTGAAATCAGTGTGAAGACAACAAAACCAAAAAAAAAAAAAAAAAAAAGGAAATAAAAACGAAGAAATATACTTTCACATGTTGAAACCTAGTGAAATAATTGAAATTTCATGGATGATTTGTTGTTTTCAAACGAATATATTCACACGATTGCTTCGAGAACGCTTGATTTCAGGAAATCGATTCCATGTGAATTTGTACTTTTGCACTGGAACGAGTTGACGATGTTGGTTCTTTGATATTGAATCACGCGATTACTTAATCGCAATGTGTATCCCAACAGATTTTACGAATGGACCGACCCTTGTACAATGGCTGCCATGATAGATCTGAACACTCGATTTTTGTCTTTTACTGATATAATAAAAACGAAAAAAAAAAAAAGAATAGATTATTTGCTCCGTGGTAATTAGTTTACTACCTGGAGGCTCTTCTATCAATTTTTTTCCTAATAGATAAGGATAAACATAATAGATCTGCGTCCTGACGTATGAACCTTGCCAATCAATGGATTGTGTAAGATATCAATCACCAATTGCAATGCACGCTAAAATTGTGTCATAGATACACCACGTTGGATTTGTAGTGGTTTCGAGGTGTTAAAATGGACGCGCTATTTTGTCTGCGCTATTACAGATCTGCGTTAATAGTGATTCTATACAGCGTGTGAAAAAAGTATTCGTACACTGCGACATATCCTATTTGAAACGATGATAAATTTACCGAAGTCTGATGTATTAGTATATAATACGATGCTAAATGTGTTAAGAAATATACTTGATTGTAAGATGAATTATAAATTTAGGAAAAGTATTTTTTGACAATAATAAATGCTCCGGAAGCATTGAGATCTTCTAGCGTGGTTTCCCTTCTTAATTTAGTGTCGTTCACGATGATTTTAAAAATCACTCGACACTTCCAATATACGTTAATTAATTGAAATTAATTTACTAGAGCTGAGTTCAAGAATTGAACAAAGAATTAGTCGATGTTATTACTCTGACTGTAATTTTATATTTGTTAGATTGCATATTGATTGGATTTGCCTTACTATTGATTAACCAACGAGATCTGTTTTTTTAATATTATTCAAAATTAGGATAGTAGAAATAAGGGTGAAAGAAATCGTAATTCAAAGGTGAATACACCATTGTCTACTGTGTGATTGCTCTTTTATCAACATGAGAGATATTTGACAATTATCGGAGCTAATTTATACGGCCTGGCGAAGTTGTCAAGGGTTCGATAAAAATATTCCTAGAACAAATTGAGCATGTTGGGGCACGACACAATGAAACGTG